CAGGKTGGAATTTAAAATCTTTTAATGGATGCCACTGGGGAGATGTTTTTCACGTGAGAATCATAGACTCTCAGAGCTGCCTGTACAATGGTCCAACCCAGAGAAAGAAATGGAAGCCCTAAAACTTAATRAGTCTTTTCCAAATACACATGGCAGGTTGTTGACCTAACTGGTCTTGAAAGCCAGTTTCTGCCTCCTAGTTCCCAGCTCTGCATCCTGCCCAAGCCATAGTTGTAGAGATCAGAAAACAAAATATACCTTTCATATTCCTGGATTTTGATGCTGAAGTGACCTTCCTTGTCTTTCCCATCAGGTAAGTGCCTGCAGGGTTTGGTGGATCGAGGAGGCCCTCCTGAAGTCAAACAGACCTGAGTTCCAATCCTGCCTCCTCCTCTTATCCACTGTGTGATCCCAGGTAAYTTACTTTACCTCACTGAGCCTCAGCATTCTCACCTCCAATGTGGATATGGTAGTGCTTATTCTTTAGACTTATAATGAGAATTCAACAGAGTATGCAAAGCAGCTGGTACATATCGGTGGTGTCCAGAGAACAGCAACAATGTCCATCTATCCTTTATTCCTTTAATGTACATTTTAAGATCCTTCCACAAACTTGGAATTCTCCTGCCCCTCCCATCCCCATCTTCTTCAATTTATCACCAAGTCTGCCAGTTCTGACTCCTGTCTTCCCAAACCAGGCCACTATCAGCTCTCACTTGGCGTACAGCATCTACCTCTTACTTAGTTTACTAATCAACACTCTTACTCTATTTTAATCCTTCCTATAGTGGCCAGAGTGATCATTCTAACCTGAAAAATCTGATTGTATCACTCACTCAACATCCTTCAGTAGTTTCTAAATGCCCTTAGGATAAATTATAAACTCCTTGTCACAGCCCACAAAGGACCTACAAGCTGGGTTCTTAGCACATGCTTTCCCCCCCCTTCCCTCCCTCCTCAGCCTCTGGTGTCATCTGCACCTTGCTGACTTCTTCAGTCGAGGCTTAATCTAAAAATCACCTCATCCAGGAAGCTTCTCATGATTCCAGCCTCCAGATGAATTCAAGTGCATTCCATGAACTCCCAAGTAACATGCTTGTCAGGCTTGATAGCAATGGCCTATTTAATTGTCTGGGTTCCAGTGATACACTATAAACTACATGAAGTCAGAAACCTTTTCTTGCTCATCATTATGTCCTGTGACAACAAGAGATGTGTTGAGCACTCAATTAAAAATGGRTTATAGAATGAATGGAGGATGGATACATGGATGGATGGATAGATGAATGGATGGGCAGACCCATGTAAAATGACTCATCATCTGAAGGTCTGCCTGGATTCCTCTGGATAGGCCGTCCTTCATCTGTGCTTCATAGCAACTGGTACAAACCTCCACCCAAGCCTTTAGATTCCTCAGCCATAAAATGGAGAAAACAATAGTACCTGCCTCTCAGGATTTTTCCTGTTAAATAGCATAAGCCATGTAATAGTTTTAAATTCATGATAATAGACTGTTAAGTTTAAACAAGGTAATCCACATAAAGTGCTTAGAATGGAATCTTGCACTTAACAAGTACTCAAAAAAAAGTTGGCTATGATAATTACTATAGCATATATAATTTCTTTATACCTGTGTCCCCTGCCAAACAGTAAGATCCTTAGGGACACTAAATAGGTCTGACCTTTTGGACACATCACTACTAGCAACATCCCACGGTGCCTAGTAAATGCAAAAAAWAAAATAAAATAAAATAAAAAGAATTCAGATTTGATAACTGGTGAGTCAAGGCCTAGCACCCCTCTTCACTCACAAACCCAGACACACACAGTTTCTTACACATTCACACCCACTCACATTCATTCAAAGAAAGTCAAAATATCAAAAACAGCCATCCAGTTTCCTAAAGCAGCCATGCATAGGTTAAGAGCCTTACTTATGACTTTCCCTGTACCCTCCCCAAAGCACCCCAGCACCCAGCACCCTATCCCTCCCCTGGAATGAGGGAGCTAGCTGTAGGAGGACCTCACACCCCCAGGAGGGAAAGCAAAGCCAAACCTTCAGCCCTAGTCTTGACAGCATCTCAGCTGGCAACAGTGCCACCAGTGGCTCACCCCTTTCCCATCCTAAATATCTGGGCCCCTGGCCTTGTCAGGCTTCCTTCTTCTCTCATCTAGTTCCCTCTTGGAACCTGAAGTGCAGCCCCATTGTCTTCCCTCTCCTAATGCCAAGCACAACAATCTGCTGAAAAATGGCAGGGAAGAGGAGACCCAAGGACTTAAGTGGTTAGAGGGCCTTCTTAACCTTGTGGTAAAATAATTATATTAACTACAGCTTGCCTGCTAGGTGYATAATAAGGGTCAGATACAAAACCCGCCATTTTACATTTATTATATCTCACCTAATCCTCACAACCACCTTGTTTTCCCAGGGGAGGACACTTAAGACGCTGCAGGTTAAACCGTTTACCTAAAATCACCAGGTTGGAATGGCATGCATGTCTTTAATTCCAGAATCTTCGACAGCCAGGCTTTTAAGAATGGAGGGGAGAGTCTGGGGCAGTCTTCGGGTATTAAGCTGGAGAGACGCCCCTCAAAACAGCATACACCCTCCAGTCAGTCAAGTCGGATCTCCGGGGGAAAAGGGGCGCTGGGCGCAGGGGACGCAGGGGCCTCTTTCGGGACCCGGGTGGGGGCGGTGGCGGGGCGGGGCCTGGCGAGCCCTGGGGAGGGGCGAGTCGGTGGCCCCGGCTCGCAGGCCAAGATGGCTGTTAATTAAAGTGCTGGCACCAGCTCCTCTCTGCAAAGTTTGAAGCCGTTATTTTCCACTCCAGCGAAGCGGGGAGAATCCGGCTGGGCTGACAGAGACGCCACACCGCGCCAGGGGAGCGGGCGCGCTTTCGGAGCGGGGGGCGGGGCGCCGTGCAGCGGCGAGCGCGCCTCTCGGACGCCCTGGCGAGCGCGGGGGCGGCCGCTCCCGCCCCCTCCTCCGCCCCGGCAGCCAGCCGGTTTCCCCAGCCCATTCGCGAGGGCTGCGGGTGCTGGACCAGCTAGCGGCGCAGCGGAGGAAGGGCTCATCCTATGGGGGTGAGGGGTTCTGTACAAATTATACTCCAATGACCGCGCACGTGTCCCTCGGGTCACCAGCCTTGTCGCTCATGGGGAGTCACACAGAGGAGACTGCCTCGGGAGACCGGGAGGCTGACGGCTGAAAAAGAGGACCACCCTGCCTAATCCTGGATGAGCAGGACCTGGCTGCCCTGAGCCTCCTCCCCAAGCAGTTTGTACGATAAACAGTATCTAGAGATTCCAACGCATTGAGATTGGGGAGCTGGGGAGCCCGCTGAGGGTTTGAATCCCGTCTCTGCCACTTATTACTTTTGTGACTTGGGGCAAATCTCTTAACTTCGCAGTCTCAGTTCTCCGTGTGCAAAATGAGAGTGATGATGGGTTTTACCTCTTTGGATCCATGTGAAAATCGAGTGTGATCACATATGTAAAGCATTCTACATAGGGTCTGACACATGATTGCCCTGCTTAAATACTATTTATTAAAAAAATAATTAGCTCCCTCTTTGGTGATGGGGAGGGTCATTCTCTATACTCTGTGCTTGGAGCCCCCMGCAACCCCACCTTGACTCCTCCTGTACTTCTCCTCCCAGCTCAGGGCCAGGTGTGCACAGTCAACCTTGGGCTCGGAACGCCAGAGAATCATAAGAAACGTGGTAGGTCAAAAGGGAGGGTGTGATCTGGAAGGGGTCTCTCAGGAGAGAAAGAGACTGGAGAGTCATCSTTAGCAACCGGCCAGAGGCCTCTGAATGGCAGAGCACTCCCTGGTGGACTGGATAAAGGAGGGTGAAGGAGGAGCAGTGGAGCAGCACGAGCTGAGCCTCAAACAATGTGACAAATATTTTGATGGAAGCAGACACATTTCATTTTATGCAACYTAAACACTTTAGTGCACTCGAGGAAGAGGAGAGCTTCATACGACCTGAGGGGAAGAGGAGTTAGGGGATCCCAGAGAGGCCGAGGGGCAGGGACAGAGGAAGAGGGGGGCCACCACCCAGGGACGTACTTGTCCGGGTCGGGGTCAACTTGGAGAAATACCATGAGGGTGCTCACCTCAGGATTCCCGTTTTTCCTTGACTAGAAGCAAGAATAAGGGGATTGTCCAGAGAAAACCAAGGAGGCAGACCCCAGGTAAAAGCAGTCTGGCAGGTAGCTCAGTGAGGACGGGGCAAAGGCAAGGAGGGGGTTGAAGATCTTGCCCCTCCTGGGAGAGGGCGGGTCCCGGGAACAGTCAGAGCCAGAAAAATAAAGGAGGAGGCGTTTGCTCTAAGAACCTGGGTTCCGGTGGACACTCTGACAGCATACAACCCCAAGTCTCCCAGGCCTGGAGGGGAGGCCTGATTGCAGAATGGTCCCCCCTTTCATTCCCTTCCTTACTCTCTTCTTTCCCCTCAAAACCCTCGTTCTTTGTCCCCTGAAGACCCGGGCGCTACCCCCTCGCTGCCGCCCCCACTGCGGATCGCGGTCCTACGCCTTCCCTGGATCCCTCGAGACCAACCCTCGAGGCCTGTCCTCTCCAGATCTTTCTTGGCGCTCTCTAGCTCTCCCTAATGCCCACCCTTGCGTTTGCTCTTTGGTGCCTACCTCCCCTTCCCTGTGGAATCCACTCCTGCTTATCAGACCCTAGCCCCCCTCCCCATTTCTGAGTCTCTGGCTTTCTCAGTCTCTTTATTTCTCTCTTAGAGCCCGCCCCCTTCTCAGAAGCCCCGCCCCTCTCTGCCCCTCCCACCTCAAACCGCCCGCGGCCCAATTAGGCGCAGGCCCCGCCCTCATCCCCACCCCTCGCGCTCTCTGAGCCGCGCGGAGCGGGAGGGGCGGGGCCCAACCGAGGGGGCGGTGGCCCGAGTGCTAGCAAGCGGGAGGAGCTGGGCGCTAGGCGGGAGGCGGCGGCCGCCGGGCTCAGTCGGACCGCGCAGCGGGAGGGAGGCGCGAGGCAGGAGCCGGCTGCTGGGCTCCGCAGCGCAGGCAGCGCAGCGCGGCGCCCGGGGCCTGGCCCCATGCCCGCAGCCCCGCCGRACCGCCCTTGAGCGCGGGCGTCCAGCCCGCGCCCCTCGCCCGCCGGCACCATTGCCCCGACGGCGCGGCCGGGCGGCCCGGCTCTCCCCAGGCTCCGCGCCGGCCGGAAGACGCTGCTGGCGGCCGCCGCGGGCGTGGTGATGCTGCTGGTGCTGGTAGTGCTCATCCCCGTGCTGGTGAGCTCGGGCGGCCCGGACGGCCACTATGAGATGCTGGGCACCTGCCGTATGGTGTGCGACCCCTACCCCGCGCGAGGCCCCGGCGCCGGCGCGCGGCCCGACGGCAGCGACGCCCTGAGTGAGCAGAGCGGCGCTCCCCCGCCCTCCACGCTGGTGCAGGGCCCCCAGGGGAAGCCGGGCCGCACGGGCAAGCCGGGTCCCCCCGGGCCTCCCGGGGACCCTGGTCCTCCGGGTCCGGTGGGGCCGCCMGGGGAGAAAGGTGAGCCAGGCAAGCCGGGCCCTCCAGGGCTGCCGGGCGCAGGGGGCAGCGGCGCCATCAGCACGGCCACCTACACCACAGTGCCACGAGTGGCCTTCTACGCCGGCCTCAAGAACCCTCACGAGGGTTAYGAGGTGCTGAAGTTTGACGACGTGGTCACCAACCTAGGCAACAACTACGATGCGGCCAGCGGCAAGTTTACGTGCAACATTCCCGGCACCTACTTTTTCACCTACCACGTCCTCATGCGCGGCGGCGACGGCACCAGTATGTGGGCGGACCTCTGCAAGAACGGTCAGGTGGGCCAGGAAGGGGCTTGGGGCTGGCCTGGGGGCAGGGCATCCAGTGTGCGACCCTTACCCCGGGGCAAATCCGTACCTGATCAGAGTGGACGGGCGCTTCAGGCAGGTGCATGTGGAGACCCCAAAGCGACCCTCTTAGGCATTATTTGAGGGAATGGTCGGAACCGGGGGCAACCCTGACTCCTCGGTTCCTGGATTCCGGTTTTAAGTCAGAAGCTGCTGGGCACCCGCATCATGGAAATGCGGGTGATAAACCCAACTAGTCAGATTACTAGGCTCTCGGATGCGCAGCTTGGCCTTTGGGAAGCCGATTCAGACCCATACCTACTGAGGACTGAGACTCCGGCTGACACCACCAGGAGATAAGGGAAGAGCAAAGACGGGCTCTGGGGCACAGCATAGGGAGAAGCAACCTCCACGCCCGCCAGCGTTTAGGCGCGCAGCTATGCGCACAGGCAGAGAAAGCGGGCTACCGGAAATGTTCTGGGCACAAAGGCAGAGGGATCTGGCTCTCAGAGCCTTAGCTGCAGTACATTCCCGCCCTCGGGAAGGGACCCTTGGGCTAACCTGACACCCTTTGCAAAATCCTGGATTGCGCGGTTCCTTCCCACCTTGCCAGAGTTACCCAACGCAACAAGACGGCCTCTGGGGAAAGTTTTTCCTCCCGAGGCTGGGCGAGATGGAAACTCCCCTCTTGGTCTCTCAGGTCCAATTTTCTTGGCTCCTAGAATGTGGGGAGGAATCCTCTTGGTTCCCTGCAGTGCCCGGGGAGTCTGGTACCAGGACCTTGTGTGCCCAGCCCTCTCCTTGGAGCCACCCAACCTCCGCCCAATCCTGCCCAGGGAGAAGACCTTTCCCAGCTCCTAGAACACCATCTCCCTTCCCAGTGCTCCCTGCTCTTGGTGGCTTGAGGCTCTGGGGGGCGTGGTTAAGCCAGCATTCTTTAGGAAGAAGGGGACCCCTAGTCTGTACTAAAGGTAAACTAGTAGGAATTAGCAATTTCCTGCAATTGAGACCCAAGATCTTGTTGGAACCGCTCTCAAAGCAGCACTGCTGATCTTAGGATCTGCAAAGCTTGAGGATCTGGGAAGGGGAGGAAGTCCACCTAAAACCTGTCTGGTGCTTAGAAGGCTGTCCCCTTTTTTCTTTCCCCTGCCTGCCCCTCCTTTCTCTAGTTTCTGCCTTCTCTCTCTCTCTCTCTCTCTCTCTCTCTCTCTCTCTCTCTCTGTCTCTCTGTCTCTCTGTCTCTCTGTCTCCTGTCTCTTTCCTGTGTTTGCCATTCCTCTTTCTGCAGCCTTTTTCCCCTGGGTCTAACCCTCCTTTTGCCTATTGCTTATGTCTCTCCCTCCCATTTGTGTCTATCAGGCTTTCCAGTGTCTCTCTTCTTTGTCCTTGGTTCCTGACCAAATGGGAGGCCCCAGTATCCAGTAAAGGCTCATTCTGCAGATATCCCCATGATTCCCCTTATTAATCACCAATAAGGGATGCAGCAATGTCACCTTCATTGATGGAATTTCTCCCAAAGAAAGTTTGGGCTGTCAGGAAGCTGAATTTTCAGGAGGCTGGGGKCTTGCCTGGATAGGGAAATAGTCCCTAGGCCACTGCACTACCTAGACCCTGCACCACCTCAGGAGTCATTAATAGAACCCCAGGAGGTGAGAGAAGGMCCAAAAGATAGTGTGTGCTTGGAGTGGGACCACTTGCTTCAGTCACTTGGAGGTGGTCCCCAAAGCTCCTTCTTTCCCCTCCAGCAGGGGCAGGATATTGGCAGAGCCTCACGAAGGGGGCTCATGGTTGGGGAACCACAGGCTACTTACTAGAAAAAAGAAGGTGACTTTAACTAGGGGTTTCAAACACCCAATACTTCAACAGCTATCAGACACCCTTCTCCTACAAAACAAGAGAAAACAATGGGACCTACAGCCCCCTCTCCCATGTCCTTCATGACTTTTTCCACTGTGCMCAAGAGGCTCCTTTAATCTCACAGTCTGTTTCACATGTTAGTTTTGAGACTTTACTAGGATCCAGGTTTGGGGCTGGGTACCAGGGGTTTGATCCACTTGCACTCTARGGCCTCATGCTATGCAGGGGGGCAGCAGTAGTCATAAAATAGCACACCCTAATGATTTCTGTGTTAAAGGTGGGCTGGGAACCCAACTGGTGACTCCTGTTCCCAAATGTGTCCGTTGAGAGGAGTGATTCTGTGATACCTATCCTGGTAGGGAGAGAGGATGGTGAATCTGGGTTCCYCAGGTAAGGAAACACAACTAGGGAGAAAATAAAAGGTCAAATGCAGGGAAAGGCTGACTTAGAKGTGGATTGGTACATTTAAGTAATCAGAGAAAAATAATGACAGGGCTACGCAAGAAAGGAGCTTGGACCTCCCTCTCTGTCCTCAGGACCAGGGGCTACCCTGAGCTCTATGCTTTTCTTTCCTGGCTTCTTGCCTAAGAGAAGCTTCCAGAATTTCTTTGGGAAAGCAGAGCCAAATCTGGACTCTGGCCCTTCCCCAGGCAAGATGAGTTGGAGCTAGGAGTGAGGTTGCCACCTTTGTGCCCTTTCCTGGTCCACTGGTTTCTGCTCCACCTGATAGTCATTACAACTTAAGAAACCCAAGGAAAGGACTCTAGGTCAGGAGCAGTGCCCTGCTTGAATGGTGCTGCCTGCAGCTGCCTCCCAGCTCCACAGGTCAGACAGGCCAGGGAGGACACAAAATTGATAAACTGGGCTAAGATCGGGGGACTGTATGGAACATGCCAGGCCTGTGGTCAGGGTGATACTCATCCAGGGAAGAGGGCCATGAGCAGGTGAGTATTACAAATGGGCCAGAGCTTGGCTAGCAGAGTCTACTGAGGTGAAAAGAAGTGGCATATATACACTAAGGGCTGCAGGATAAAGACCRAATTGAAAATCAGCCTCTTACCAGGTGGCAGGAAAAGGCTCCCAACTATCCTCTCTGGTTCTACTATATTTCCCAGCACARAGCACAGTGCCTGGCACAGAAGGAACACAATGTGAAAGGTGCCCCTTATGGCCAGGGTGGCTGCCTGTGGGAGCCACACCTGCACATCCAAGACAGGGACACATTTCTTGGATTACCCCCCTCCCTGTCCTGCCACTGCCTCAGTTTCCTCTCCAGGTAGTCTCCGAGGTAGTCATTCTACAGTGTCCCTTGGTGACAAGGCACAGACTTGCTTTCYTGCTTCCATGGCAATTTCAGTTCCCTAGTTCCCCTTGGCCCTGAGGAGGAGCTGGATGCTTTAGCTGTTTTCAGTCTTGGGCAGAGAACCAGGACCCCTGGGTTCCAGTCCAGGATCCCCCACCATCTAAGGATGGAAGGGCATAAATTCTCTGCCTCCATGGATAATTAGGATAATTACAGCAACAATCATGGTGATGAATAAATAATAAACATAAGCAAAACAGTTCTGATGCCTGTCACATCACCAGGAGATTCCTGATGACAGATGACTGTATTCTAATGGATTTTGCTATTAAGGAGCACACTGTTTTAATGAGTTAAGGCTAAATTAATCTGGGTAATAAAAATAATTGTTATTAGTAGTAATTTATTAGCAAAGATAATGAAATGCATGTGTAATAATAAATACTACCAGGATTAGGGCCCAGGGAACAATACAGAAGTTGGCTGCTTGCTTTCAGCTCTTCCCTAGTAGCTCAAAACCCCATCAAGATTTCATTTTTTCTTTCTTCAGCATCAAAAGCCTTTTTAAAAAGTGGATGTAGTGAGATGGGATCTTCTCATCCATTTTTCCAAACAGAGAAACTGAGCTCCTGAACAGAYAGCATCCCCCTTCATTTAATTTTCTCCCACCTTTAGCCAGCCCGGAGTTTTCCCAGCTAAAGTGCTCCAAACAGTTCCTTTCCAGACTGGAGAAGGGGTTGAGGGCAGAGAAGAAGCTGGAGGGATCTGGGCTTTAAGTGGAGGGTTGCTTGATAGTATGTGGGGCCCTCTTCATCCATTACTGCTGAGTCAGCAGCTCTTGTAGCTGACCTACAGTTCTGCCTCCAGCCCAGGAAAGAGGAAAAGACTCTCCCCTAATTTGGCTTGTTTCCACCAAGCCATCTGTCCAGGTGGGCAGGAGGGGGAGCTGCCTCTGGAAGGGGCAGGATAGCGAACGGCCCACTCAATGCAGCCTCCCCTACCACAGTCACAATCCAGGAGATGGCTCTTCTCTTCCTGTTCTATACCCAGGGTATCCTGGGAAGGCCCAGATCCTAACACTCCTATTGCCACAACTGTTGGAGAAGAATGTCTGGAGGTTATTCAGCTGCCACCATATGCCCCCAATATTTTATGCTTATAGTCAGAACTGCCAAAAATGGCAGCAGACTTCAAGCCCAGATGCAGGTTCCCTCTGACCCATTGTCCTATCTGTCCCTCCTCATCCCTCTGCATAATAAGGACCAGCAAGGATATCAGATCAAACTGAGGATTGCAGAGGGATGTAAGGCCCTGGCTTCCTTCTTTCCACTTCCTCTCTGGGGTAAGACAGGAGGAGCTGGAAGTTCTCTTTGGCCAGGGTTATAGTCAAATAGATACAGTGCACCTCCTTGAAGACTGGGGCCTAGGCCCAGTCAAAGCCTTCAGAGGGGAAAGAATTGCCAGCACTTTATTTTACTGCTCCAGTGTGGAAAGTTCTGGAATGAGCTTCAGACAAGGAGTCAAAGACCTGGTTCTGGTTCTGGTTCTGGAATGGTTATTTATTAGCAACCTGTATTGGTCCAGCCACATGACTTATAGGGCCACGATGCATCCTTTTGTCCATCCACTGATATAAGAGAAGTGGGTGTGATTAAAATGTGAGGTACCATCWTTATTAAACCAGAGTGAAAGAAATAATAGCCTTATGGGTCCAGAACTGCCTTCTCTGCAAGGAAGGATTTCCAGGTTGGAACATCCTAGAAGTACTGAAATTCTAGGCAGCCCAGATGGTAAGATCTAGAGAAGTTAAGGACGAGGACACCAAGTTGAGGTCCAGATGAGACCTCATGTAGAATCCAGGGCTCCTCTATTTCCATCTCTCAAAATTGTTATGTGTGATTAGAAGGGCATGGGTGGGGTGACAGGGAGAAGCAGGCCAAACTACAAGGCCCAGCTTTAGGGCCTCCAGATCCTTGCCTTGTGGCTGCCTCACCTCCCTACCCTCTCCTGCCACCCCACCCCCATCCCCACAGGTGAGGGCCAGCGCCATTGCCCAGGATGCAGACCAGAACTATGACTACGCCAGCAACAGCGTGATCCTGCACCTGGACGCGGGTGATGAGGTCTTCATCAAGCTGGATGGAGGCAAAGCGCATGGAGGCAACAGCAACAAATACAGCACTTTCTCCGGCTTCATCATCTACTCTGATTGAGCTCCCAGCATCCCTCTCCATCTTCTGTTCAACCCTTGGGCTTCCCCCCCAGGAGCGGCAGACAAAACCCATTCCCTACCRACCCCTTAGCTGCCTGGCCCAGGCTGCCAACCCTCCCTGGCTGTGATTCCCCAAGCCCACTCTCACCACACCCAGGCCATAGTTAGGCCTTCCCACAGCAGAGCCGCAGAGCACTCAGTTCTGTCCACAGGAGGCAGTTTGACTGCAGGGCCTCAGCCTGCAATGTATATTTGCACAGTAGGACTATTTACTGCCCACCCTGGCATTCCAGCCAGTCTCAGCCTGGGAGGAAATTGGCAGAGTTGCTTCCTGTGCTGGAATGAGCTTCCCTCCAGCTCTGGGTTGGCCCTGCCTGGGGGAGGGGCAGGTTGGGGGCTGGATGGTTTCCCAGCACCCCTAAAGCCCTAGCCTGTCTGCACCCAGTYTGACCAAAGCTATAATAAAAACATTATTTCCACCCCATGAGGGTTTCAGTTTATGCCCTGGGGAGGGCTGCAGGAAAGCACCATGGACCTTGGTCTGGTGGAAGCTTTGGGGAGGATGGACAACCAGATGCCAGTCAGAGCTGCTGGAGGAGGAGAGGTGTCAAAGGGCCTGATGCCCACTGAAGCCCATGTGGGCCTGGATGGCTGAAATGGGAAGCAGCCCATACGTCRTCATCTTCCCTGGTGGATAAGTTCCATTTTGCCTTGCTGATAGTGGCACCAGCATTCCCAAGGCACAGGCAGTCTTTAAACTGGGAGACCTAGGTTCTCTTTCCTGTAACACTGTGTATTATCCTGGTCAAGTCACTCCCCTCAGACTCAATTCTGGGTTAGTGACAGCCATGGTTAAGGAATAAGCTTTGCACTAAAGACTGGTTGACCTTGGTCCAAGCAAGTCACTTCTGGGCCTCAGTTTTCTCATCAGTAATATGTAGGTAAGAAGACCTATTCCACTTAATTGAGGATTGAAGAGGTATAACTTATGTGCTTAATAAACAGCTCTTATTATTTATACATCACTTTAACATTTGCAAAATGCTTTTATGTATGTCATTTCACTCAMGTTTCCCAAATGGCCAGGAGGTTGGATGGGTAGATTTCCTTCCAGGGAAGTTAAAGAGCTTGCTTAATGTGATATAGTTGCTAAGTTCTGTGATTGCACTTAAATCCAAGACTAAGTCTCAGCCTACCACTGCCTCCCTTACCTCTTGTAACTAGGGGATCATGACAGTCACACAATTAGGGCATTCCTAAATAATATAGGTTAATATTTGCAGAGCACCCACTATATGACAGACTCTATGTAAGCACTTTATATTTTTTCACAGATATGTAGTGGGGGGTAGCAGATTTATGGGAAGTGCTCTTATGCTCTTTACCACAATGCTATTTTATTCATTTTAAGAATTTCTATATGCATTTATTTTTTTAATTCTTTTTTAAAAAAAAACATTTTTTTAGAAGTAGTTGGACACAATACCTCATCCCATTCACTTATTTTTACGTGGTGCTGAGGATCGAACCCAGGGCCTCGCAAGTGCTAGATGAGTGTTCTACCGCTGAGCCACAATCCCAGCCCTCTATATGCATTTATTTTGAGGCATATATTTCTATGTGCAYTTATTGCTCTTTGACCCAAATTGGTCTCAAATTCCTGGGCTTAATTGATCCTCCCGCATAGCATATCATACTGTATCTGGCTGTTTTATCCATTTTAGATGAGGAAACTGAGGTTCAGAGAGGTTATGCAACTTGCCAAGATCACAGAGCTAGGAGAAGGCAAATGCCAATATTTGAACCACACACTGTCTTACCCAGGACACCAGATTTCATGAAGAGTTGGTATCTCCAAAGCAAAACTGAAGCTAGCATTGCATAACCCCAGCCCTGCCCTTCCATTCCCACCCCAGCCTTGCAGAAACCTGATGCATTTCTAAGCATCTGCCCTGGGAAGCAGCCAGGGGATGAGGCTCTTAGAGAATCCCAAGGCTCTACATTGAGGAAAGGTCCCATCTGGCTTCCCAGTCTGGCTCAGCTGGAGAAACAGGAAGGAGGGGTGGCCTTTCTGGCTAGGCCCCATGTATTGGACCCTTGTCATGGCTGGCAGACTTGAATGACTTTCTTTATCCTCCCTTCTCTCCTCTACTTCCCCCCACTGCCAGCTGTGGCCATTTAATAAAATTAGCTTAATGCTTGTTCCTTCCCTGTGGGGTCTGGAGATTGAAATCTGCGGGTCCCCTCAAACCCAATAAAACCCCTGGCAGGTCTGGCTGAAACTAGAGTCTCTGTGGGAAGAGTGATTAGATTAGAAGACACTCCTCCTGCCCCCAGTGCTGCCCACAGCTCCCTGTGATTCTTTATAGCCTCATTGGCCTGGAATTACGCAGCTGTCACACCTGGGAGCCAGCCTCCACACCTGGGGGCTCCCCACCCTAGCCCCAGAGGCCACAGGGACCCATCCAAGACYTCTGTTATACAATAAAAAGCATGTTAATCATTTCTGTAGTGAGTGCCTGCCTAGCTGGCTGGCTGACTTGCTTTTCTTTCTGGTGACTTGACAATCTTGTCATTTTGAGAGGTAAGACTAAAATCTGCATTTTGCAGATGAGGAAATCATAGTCTGAAGAAAATTTGTGACTTGCCCATGTTCGGGCAGAAAGTTTGTGGCRCAGCTGAGACTGGACTGAAGCCAAGGACTTTATACCTTTCTACAGGGCTCTAGGAGCGTCCTGCAGTGCCAGCTGCCAGCTGCTTGTCACTTGGGCAACATTCCTGCTGCAGAAGAGCCTTCTGGGGGAGTGTCTCCCCCATCAAATTGCAACTCCCTAAGGGCAAAGTGTTTTTTCCCTCAGACATGATATAYCTGAGGGCAGGGACTGTCTCCACCATCAGACTGGGAAGCTTTCTGAAGGCAAGACTTGCATCTCCTCCATCAGAGTAGGAGGCCTCAAAGACAAAGACTGTATTCTCCTCATGTCGTCAGCTCCTCGAGGGTGGGATGTGTGTCTCCCCTGTGGTGGGCAGTGCAGAGGAGTCCACTAATGGCTCCTCTGTTAAACGAGGCCTTTCTGAGATAAGGGGGCAATCTCCACCTTGAAGCCCTCAGGTTCTCTGAAGGAAAGACTGTCTCTTTATCCAACTGGAGATTCTGTGAGAGCAGAAGCTACGTCTCCACCCCAGTCTCAGTCAGGGGCTTTTCTGGCACCAGAATATTCCAGGGAACAGAGCTGAGTGAGTAGTCAGAATGGCAGATTCACAATGGAGGAAGGAAATAAGAAGATTCCCCAGGCTGCTTCCCATTTAGAAAGATGGCTGACTAATTGATGAATAATATCCCTTCCAGGAGGGGTATGAGGACAGAGGTGTCCCTGGAGCTCATCCACACAAGGAATGGCAGGCCAGCCTGTGCCCAGCCTGTGCCAGCCCGTGCCCAGCCTGTGCCAGCCCTAGGGGCTGGTGCTGCCCTGGTTTCTGGGGTTATGGAGACCAGAGGGGACAGTGGGGCCCACCACTGGGGGCTGCCCTAATTGGATGACTTTGCAGGAAGGCCAGGCAGGTGTGCTCGGCACTCTGCTTCAGCTTCCTACCAACACATCTGCCATGGCAAGGTCTAGGGGTTAATTGGCTCCCGCCTCACTCCTGGTAACCGATATTTCATTTACTGCTCGGAGGGGAGCTGCCCAGAGAATCAATCCTGGACAAGCGTCCAGGAGACAGGGGATCTAGGCAGGCACAAGAGCTGTTTCCAGGAGGAGTTCTGAGCCCCAGAAGAGGAGGCAAGAGGCAAAAACCAGGAGAAGGCAGCCAATTGTTTAAGGCTATTGTGGGCCTCACCAGAGTTCTGCTGACCCTGGCAACAGCTCCAGGACTCCTGAGGACTGGGAGAAAGCCCTATGGGTCCTGCGGCTTTGTTACCCCACCTAGATGTGTGTTGTTTTCCCTGCCCCCATTCCTTCTGCACTTATTTATCTGGGTGCCCCCCTCCCCATAAAGCTGTAACAGGTTAGATGTTGTTAATAAGGTTATTTTCACAAGTGGTGAAGGTATATTTGAAAAAGCGGAATTGGAGGTGTGAGTTCCTCACTCCCTTCCAGGTAACAAACCTTAAAATCCTACAAATGAAGTGATAATAAAGTGGAAGTGAAAAATCTATACATGTTTGGAACCGAAAGGGAGTGGAAGGGTCCCTGCGTGGTGGCAGCTGGGACTGGAGGAAAGAGACCAAAGAGCTACCCACCTCCCATGCTTTTCATATACTGAGCCCCATTCGCCTTATCTGCCAAAATTGAGAATCAAAGTTATAGGATGGGCAACTCCTATTACACAGCTGGAAAAACTAAGGCCCAGAGAAGAACCCAAGGTTGCTCAGGTTGGCTCAAGGCAGAGCTAGAACCAGAGATAGCAGGATCCGGTCTACCTGCAGGAAGAGGAGACAGAATTGGGTTCAAGTCCTTACCATCAGGACCTCCAAGTCAAGTCCTGTTTCAGGAAAAGATACTTCATTTCTCTGAGCCTCAGTTTCTCCATCTACAAAATGGGGGAGAAAATATAAAATCAAAATACCTATTTGAGGGTTGTCATGAGGGAATGGATGAGAGCCTGTTTTATAAGTTGTGAAGCAAAATTCAGATGCATTATTATTATTTTAACCCAAGTCTCCTGAGCTCCATGATTTAAAGTTCTTGGTTTGTACTTCAATGCCTGGGATGGAGATGATGATCATGGAAGAAGATAAAGATTCCTGGGTTGTTCTCCTACCCAAAGTGAGTGTGGGTTCTAGGAGAGGGCTTCATATGGGGTACCCAGGAGGTAGAGCTAAGTATTGGGAATGGAGTGCCCTGGTTCCTCCAATCTCTAGTGTCAATTCTCTCACCACTTTGCATCATGGGCTCTGTTTTGGGGTGAGAGCAGAGGTATACAGCTGAGGCCCTGATTCACCCATTTGTTCTGTCTCAACTTGCTCTACTTGTTTCACCAAACATTACTGAATACTTCCTATAGGCAAGGCCCTAGCTTGGTGTCAAGGATCCAGAGATGGATGAAAGGCACCAAAGAATCAAGATACCCGCAGGGACTGTAAAGATACATCTAAAATATAGTGGCATTCAAGGGCAGGCAATGTTTCACCTACTGGGA